CACAAGCTCTCTGCAAAAACAGTCTGAGCGTCGCCAGCGCCCCTGGAACTGAAAGGGGCATTATGTTTGTGCCCCTCATCCTGAGCAGCCCTGAAAGACGTCAGAGAAATGCTAGCCTCCCTGTGAGTCCTTTCTTTTCTTTTTGGCAGTACCAGGGGTCAAACTCAGAGCCTTTGCAGTGAGCTTTGTTCCCCAGCCTTTTCTTATTTTAAAATTTTGTGACAGAGTCTCACTAAATCATCAAATTGTCTAGGCTGGGCTCCAACCTGCCACCCTCCTGCTTCAGCCTCTCAGCGTGCTGAGATTACAGCCACCAGGAATCACTTTCTGAGTCCTTAAGCCCTTGGCCTCTGCTGACTCAGCACATGCCTGCTCCCTGGCGCCCTGTTGGAGCGCATCCCCGCTAACAGGAGCATTACGTGGTGGCTCTGGAGGGCTGCAACTTTTACAGTCCCATCAAAGACACAGCGTCAAGGCCCCTGGCATTTAAAAATGAGAGCATCCTTGTCGGTTTCTCTCCTTGGTTTTTCTTTTCTTTTTTTTTTTTTGTGGTACTGGGGATTGAACTCTGGACCTTGTGCTTGTGAGGCAGGGGGCAGAACCACTGAGCTAAATCCCCGGCCCTCTCTCCTTGGTTTTATCTTCTTTTTCTAAGTGGTTTGTGCTTCTGCCAAGCTTGGATGACATAGTGCCAGGCTTATCTCTTGGGACCAGGAGCCTGGTGAGCTGTGTAAGCAGCTGTAATCAAGGCGGGATGAAAATGACAGGTCAGTGACCCCAGTGGCATAGTGGGATCTGTGAGTGGAGCCTAAGCCTCAGTGCATAGTAACAATGATCCCAATCCTGTTCCTGTTGTGTCCCAGGCACAGGTGTTAGAGCCTCACATATATTGATAATTATGCTTCCAAACAGGCCTGTTGGTTGCCAGCAATGTCTCTGTCGAAGCCAGGTTCGTAGGCAGAGGTTATGGGTTAAATGTGTCTCCCCCAAGAGATCCTGAGGTTTTTGCTCCAGTCACTGTGGGCTGGATTTGAATACCCACTTCTCCTCCAACTTCTGGGCTATTCTCAGTTTTGCGGATTGAACCCAGGGCCTTTGCACGGAGCTACATCCCCAGCCCATTTTATTTTGAGTCAGGGTTTCACTACATCACTAAGTTGCCCAGACCGGGCTCAAATTTACAGTCCTCCTGCCTCAGCTTCCCAGAATATTGAGATTACAGGCATGTGCCACCATGCCCAGTGAACTCCTGCTATTTCTTGGGGGCAAAAATGTCCTCTCTCTGTGCCTCATAGGTGGGGATTCATTCTTTCATTTGAAATTTATTTACTAAACAGCTACCATGTATCAGCCCGTGAAAAGTGAACTTATTCGGGAATAGTCTTTGGAGGTGATCAAGTGAAGGAGGTGATCCAACACACTGGTGTCATTCCAGGAAAGTGAAATCTACACACACACACACACACACACACACACACACACACACGTGCGCGCACATGCTGAGGGAAAATGTTTAGCTACATCTCCAGGCCTTTTTTATTTTTTATTTTGAGACAAGATCTTGCTAAATTGTACAGCTGGGCTTGAATTTACAATCCTCCTGCCTCAGCTTCCTGGAGTGCATTATTATTAGTATACAGGGGTTCACCACTATCCCCAGCTGTGAAGTTGAATTTAGCAGAAGTGAATTGTTTAACTTAGGACCTGAGTAGAGATCTGAGCTGAGCGGAGAGTATACTCCTGCATTTGAGTCATCCCTTCATCCATCCATTCACTCACTCACTCATTCAGAGAATTTATTGAGTGCTTATTATGGACTAGGTTTGCTAATTATAGAAACTAGAGAGGAATCTATTTCTTAAATTTTGAGTACCTATTTTAAAAAATTCTCTTTTATATGATTATGGTATCAATTTCATAGATAGCTAGGTTTATTTATTCATTTATTGCAGTACTGCAGATTGAACCCAAGGCCTTCACACTGAGGCACACCCTCAGATCTTTTTCAGTTTTTGTAATAAGTTCTTTAAATTTAAACATTATATAGTAGTAGACACAAGGAGGGATGAAGTGGGAACAGTAATTCATTCTGCCCCGGGATGTCTGTCAGGACGGGGACTTCTGACCCCTCCAGGCCAAGAAGGGCCAGCATCCTCGGGTTCCCATCGCCCTGGTCTGTGGAGCCCTTGAGTGGGGGAGGAGGGGGGCCAGATGCTGCACCATCATCTGTCCGTGATGAGCGGTGACTGGGCTCTGCCTGTTAGGGATGTGGGACCACCTTAACCTGTCTCCCTTGAAAGGGGCCAGGGTCTTCCCAGAGTTCTTCCCACATGTTCTGCATCTGGAATGTTTTATGGACACGACAGGAAGAAAGTTTCATTATGCAATGCTCTGTGATATGACACACTGGCTTGGATTTAGGGTTACAGCTATTCTTTTCTTATAGAGTTTTCACGTCTAAGCTGTATTGAGTATTGTTTTTTTTTTCTTTAAATAATGACCCATCTACAACTTCTGAACAAAGTGTAATAAAAGTGACAAATACTAGAACACTGAACACCTGGTGTCACTTTGGATTTACTGCCCCCCGACTTTTTCTGGTAAAGTCACACTAAATTTACAGTTTGGGTCTTAATCCATCACTCTGTCTTTTAATGCAATATCTAATCTCACTACTTCTTTTCTTCCTTTAATATAGTTTCTCTTGAGGTGCATTTGCCGGACTGATTTTTATCCATTGTAATGTGTTTAAAATAACGCTTTAGCTATAAATCAGAGGCCTTTATTGGGATGCTTGGGAAGTCACTTAAAACCCAATAAATTTAATACCTTTGATTCATCCTGGGAAATTTGACCATAAGAAGAGTAACAGCCCCCTTCAAACTCTGGAAACTGGGGAATCATCCCTTCAAAATGAAAATCAAATGTTTCCTTCCATGGGGACATTCTTCAACCTCAAGACTTTCAATTTTTCAGACCAGGATTCAGGAAATGATGTCACACAACGTGGGTCGGTAGAATCTGGTTGGAGCCAGAAAAACCTGGGTCAGAATTGCAACTCAAGCACATGCTGGGTGACCTGTGGCCAGTCACACAACCTCTCTGAGTCCCTTTTCCACCTGTAAGCTGGAGTTATATTGCTTGGCACCAAGGCTGTGGTGGGAAGGAATGCGGAGGCCTGTGTGTATGTGCCCGGCGTGTAGTAAGGACTCGACACATACTTTGTACTAAGGTGGCCCCTCAGGGAATCAAGGCTTCCTTCTTTTTGTGGCCCTGGGACCTGGTTCTTTTGGGAGAGGAAGGAGAACATGCTGGGTGGACTCCTCCAAGGTTCTCATCCGGACACTGGCTCCTCCCACACCCGCAGGGCCAGCCTTGTTCTACCTCGGAGCCCGCTACTGGGGATGATAGGGCTCCCAGAGCCCCGTCCCTGCCTCTAGGGGCTTCTCTAGTCCAGCCAGTCTCACTAGAAGGAAGTGCATTTCATCCCCAATCCTGGGACCCTCACTTCCCTTCTCCACTTCTGCCCCCAGAACATTCCACTTCCGCCTTGGAACATTTCCCCCGGCTCCCCGCTGGCTCCCATCTTCCGGGGGGGAGGCTGAGGGGCTGCCCTAGAGTCTTGATCCCAGCCCCCAGCGGCCTCATGGGGGCCCAACAAGATGAAGGGGGTCTTCAAGTTGGGCGTGGTGGCGCACACCTGTAATCCCAGCACCTGGGAGGCCGAGGCAGGAGGCTCACTGTGAGTTTGAGACCAGCCTGGGCTCCATAGTGAGTTCAAGGCCAGCCTGAACTACATAGTGAGTCCCTGGCTCAAAAAAAAAAAAAAGGAAAAAAAAGATGAAGGGGGTCTTAGCCCCGCCTCCATTTTCAGAGCACTGAGGAAGGACACCGTGTCAGGTCCACGGCTCGTCACCCTCACACTGAGCACTGTGGAGGCTGCCCATCCCCCATTGGTCTGACCCCGCCTTCATACAGCTGCCAACCTCAAGGTTCCGACTAGAGGCCAGGCTCTGTGCTTGAATCCAGGCCTTGGCCCTCCGCCTGATTCTGGTCTTTGCTGTCTGAATGCACAAAGCATGCTGGACCTCAGGCCTTGCCCTTGGCCGTTCCCTGCCAGGGGTCCTCTTAGCAGGAAGTGTCCATCTGCCAGAATGGATGCAGATTCTCCAGCCCAGGGTGGGCAGGACTGCAAGCCCAGAGTGAACAAGGCTCCGCCTGGGGACCACGGAGTGTGTGAACCGGAGGAGACAGGGCTGTGGGGAGGAACAGCCTTCCCTCCCCTGCCTCCTCCCATCCTCCTCTACCTGGAGGTTAGGTTCTTTCATTTGTTTCTTTCCTGCTGCCTCTTGTCACTTTTCCAAGGCTGCTGGTCCTTGAGGATCCACTTAGGTCACACTTGCTCTGGAAAGGATCTTACCTGTCCTGATCCAGTGCCCTCCTTCAGCCTCTGCAACTGTAAAGTGCTACAGTGACCTTGCAAATGGCCCCCATTCTGCTGGTCCAGATGTCTCTCCTGGGACCTGTGTCAGCCCTGCCCCAGGCTGGGATGGACACAGTTGAGGAGAGGAAGGAGGGTCCTATGCGGCTGCCCTGCTTCCAGGGGTGGAACCAGGCCACCGGGATGGGCGAGCCTTCCAGAAGTGAATGGAGCTGAAATTAAAGGGATAAATGGCTCCCAGAATTGTTACCAGCAAGACATTTGGGGAACATAAATTTCACTAGGAATTAGTCATCCTAAACTGCTTTATTTGGTTTTAACTTAGAATAGCACCTAAATTATTCAGCGAAGGAGAGGGAGGGGGCCAGGCCGAGTCCCTGGGCCTGGCGTCAGCCTTATGGGGACATCTGTCTGGGGGTGGCCTGGGGGTCTCGTAGGCTGCCTGGATCCCTTCTGGCTTTCGTGAAAGCCCCCGGATGTGAGATGCGAAAGCACGACGTAGCGTCAGCAACGCGCCACCTTCCCCTCGCGCCACACGCCGAGTGCAGGGGAGGGAGGAGGGCGGGGACTGGCGCCGTTGCTCCCCACCCCAGAGCCCACTTGGACCCCCGGCGACGCCAGCCCTGCCGGCTTCCTGCTCGGCTTTGCTCCAGAGCTCCTCCATGATCCTAATTCTCTTGGGGCCTTCTCTCTTGACCCTCTCTGGGTAGGATCTCTTTTTTCTTGGCACTGGGGATAGAACCCAGGACCTTCGCAGTGAGCTACATTCTTTCTTATTTATTTATTTTTGAGACAAGTCTCGCTAAGTCACTGAGTTGCCCAGGCTGGGCTCAAACTCGCCAGCCTCCTGCTTCAGCCTCCCAGAGTGCTGGGATTGCAGTTGGGTGCACCACACCCAGCTTCTGGACTATCTCAGTAACATTTGCCTCTGTTTGTCTTTCTGTAGGATGGACAGAGCCCCAACAAGTACTTGACCAAGTACTGAGAGAGAGCAGGCAAAGAGTCTAACATGGTGCTGGCATGCAGCAATCTCCCTAGAAATGCGAGCCACGACTATGTTGGCAGAATGATTCATTCTGAGGACAGCTTTGTTACATTGGTAAATTGGGTATTAATTCTACACACACACGCACCTTGCTCACATCTCTGCCTCTTGCCCAAGGGCACCGAGGGATGAGTGGATGGATGTCCAGCTCAGGAGCCATCAATCCTGCCCCCAGGTGCCCGCCTGACAGGTGAAGGCCTATCCCTGGCCCCTCTTGAAGTCCAAGTGTTTGATCTGTGATGCTGTGGAATTCAGTGCCACCTGCACAGTCCCCACCAACAAGGGCCAAAGGCAAAGTCTCTGCTCACTCAGCCCTGGGAGCAGTGCTGTGTTAATGGGGCCTTGGGTGACAGCTCCCTGGCAGGTTCCAATGGCCTGTCGCTGCCAGGGCTGCTTCCTGTTTTGTTGGCACCTTTACTTGTGCACAGAGCAAGCAGGGACACACCACTGACAAGGTTACCAGCGCTGTAGTGCAAGGTGCTTATTAATGGGATCTAACCTGCACAGTCCCCACCAACAAGGGCCAAAGGCAAAGTCTCTGCTCACTCAGCCCTGGGAGCAGTGCTGTGTTAATGGGGCCTTGGGTGACAGCTCCCTGGCAGGTTCCAATGGCCTGTTGCTGCCAGGGCTGCTTCCTGTTTTGTTGGCACCTTTACTTGTGCACAGAGCAAGCAGGGACACACCACTGACAAGGTTACCAGCGCTGTAGTGCAAGGTGCTTATTAATGGGATCTAACTTGAAGCTATTTAAAAATTTTTTTCTAATCTTTGTTCTAAAATAACAAAGTGCCAAAGATCACAACAAAGTGCAAAATTCTGGTGAAGAAGAATGAAAGAAGAAAGGAAGGTGGAGGTTTAGGGTTGCAGACAGCAAATCTGACCTGAGTATCCAGCCACCAGTTCTACGGGGAAGCTGGGGTGAGATCATCCCCAGGGGCCTGCCAGGTGCTTCAAGCTGCCTGACTACTGTCTTTAACGGCCAAAGAACCCAGTGGGTTGTGGCGGGTAACACTGTGGTTTGACCTGCTCAGGGCCCAGTTTCCTTTTGGGTTAATAAACCCGGGCTTTCTTGGGAGGTCATTCCTCTTCCAATCTCTGCCATATAGATTTTTTGGGTGCGAGTGTCCCACCCCAAGAGCTGGGGTGAGCATGTGATGCAGGGTCAGCCATTCAGAGTATACCATTTAGCATAGTCCATGGGGTTGGGTCATGTGACCCAGGATTAGCCAATCAGTGCCTCAGCTACAGTGATTGGCTCAGAGATGGGGACGGGCTGGTCCAATCAGAGTGAGGCCCAGGGGTAGCTGCTTATTGCTGGTGCCAGTTCTGCAGGGAAACAACACCTTACAGGGAAACAACACCTTCCTTCCAGAGAAGTCCTCAGCCAGATGGATGGGATGGATAGGAGTTAGTGGATTTATTTTCCATCCCTGAGGCATCTTCTAAGCAGTCCCTAAGGCTTGCCAGTGGTCCTATTGGCCCCAATTTGCTTGATATCACTGTATTGGCTACCTTACCCCTCCCCATTTCACTTCTCAACTCTCAAATTTCCCAGAGAAGTGATTCACACTGAAATATTTGTCTCAGGATCTGTTGTTGGGCTGTGAAACTTTGAACATGAGCTACACAAGAAGCCTGACCAATTGAGCAGATCCAGAGGATACATAGCCAAGAGCACAAGTCTTGATGACTGAGCCTGTGTCCCTTGGTCCAGCTGTGCCTGAAGCCCTCACTCTGGATGTTTCAGTAACTTGAACCCAGAAATTTCCCTTCTTGCTCAAGTGTGTTTGAATGTGGGTTTCTTTCACTTGCAAAAGAAAGAGTGCCATTCATATTCGTATACCATGGATGAGCACACAGAAATTGGATCCAAGCAGAGTCCTGTTTCTGAAGCAATAGCAGCTAGATTTTCCTGTGCTGCAGCCCAATACTGGCTTCCTGATGGTGATGGTGGTGGCGGCGGTGGTGAGGTTCTTAGGAAACTACCAAGGAGATGTCACAGATGGGGCTTGTGTCACTCTAGGTCGTTATAACAAAAATATTATAAACTGGGTCCTTTGTAAACAGCAGGAACTTATTTCTCACAGTTCTGAAGGCTGGAAGTCCAAGACCAAGGTGCTGGTAGATTCCATGTCTGGTGAGGGCCAGCCACTTTTTCCAGTTGTTGGACAACCATCTTCTCATTGTGCCCTTGCATAGTAGGAGGGAGACAATTTCTTTGGAGCCTCTTTATTAAGGCCACTAATCTCAAAGTCCCCCCTTCCTAATGTCATCCCTTGGGGTTTAGGATTTTGAGAGACACACACATTCCATTGTTAGCAGGATAGAGATCATTTTAGCTTCCACAAGTGTTTATTGGGCTCTTACTGCATACCCAGCTCAGAGCACTTAAGTACTTCCCAGTCCTAGATGGAGTTGGGGCCAGAGAAATGCAGTTGAGTCCCAGGAGGGCCCATGTGAATTTCTAAAAGGACCCTAATGCTGGCCCCAGCTCATTAAAGCTGTGCTCATTCTGCAGGCAGGACTGTCCCCTCCCTTGACTGCAGCCCTTGGTGTCTACTAATGGCTTGCAGGTCCCATGCTCAAGCTGCTGGTTAATCTTGGTTTCAGATGAAGCTCCATGGGTGTCACCACCCTAATGAGGGACACCTCTTTGTGCCCCCAGGATCCCTGGCTGCTGGTGTGGGAGCCTGTTGTGGATGGAGGTGTCTCCTGAGTACACTCCGTGAGTAGGTTAATCAGCTTTCTGTTACTGTAACAAATATCTGAGAGCACCTACTTGTAAAGAGAAAAGGTACATTCGGCTCACAGTTTCAGTCCATACTGAGCCTGCTGCTTTCAGGCCTGTGGTGAAGCAGCACATCATGGCGACACTGTGTAACCAAACAGCTCACCTTATGACTGGATGCTACAGAGAGAAAGAGGGGGACTGGATTCCCCATATCCCCTCAAAAGCTTGACTGCAGTGACCTAAATCCTCCACCAGCTTTACCTTTTCCCAGTGGCATCCTGGGCTGGGGCCCAAGCCTTTAATACACAGGCCCTTGGGGGACCCTTATCCAAACCACAGCAGGGAGCCATCATGGGCCCTGTAGAGTCCCAGCTGCCCACACCTGCAGGAACCAGGTGGCACAGCCTGACTGCAGTAGCCTCCCAGCCACTTGAGTTTTATTCGGAAGCTAGGGTGCCTGGCCTTGCTGGGGCTGGAGAAACCACACTGAGCATAGCGTGGCTCTAGGGGTGTTCTTGGGTCTAGGGAGAGAGGGGGGCTGAGACATGCACAGGTGACAGTAGAACTAGGTGACAGGAGACACTGGCTTTAACATGGCTGGGAGTGACTGTGATTTAAAGCAGAGCACAGGCTGGGCTGTGGAGGAAGGATGTGTGTGTGGTGGGAGTTGGACCGAGTGGGCAGTGGAGCAAAGGATTCTTGGATGAACAGAGTCCCATGTGGGGCCCGTGGTAGGCAGAGAGGCACAAAGGAGCCTGGACCAGTAATTGAGACCAGGAGAGTCTGGGTGTGGGGCAGCCTCTGCAACCTCAAGCAAGGTGTCGGGGCAGGGGGCAAGTTCCTCTCCCTGTCTCACCCTGACCTGCTTGGTTTGGTGGTGCACTGCTAGGACAGACACCAGGAGTGGCCACTGGTCCACTTAGATTGTGAGTACAGAGGCTATCTGAGAATGACAGAAGGGGCTGGAATCAAGAACTGAGGATGAGGATCCATTGTAGCACCTGGATCCAGCTATACCTGAAGTCAATCCTATCCTACTTCTGAACCTTCATTTGCGTAAGCCAAAAGGTTGCTCCCTCTTATTCTGTATTCTAATCTGGCTCGCAAAATTTCTGCTATTTGCCACCTGAAAAGTGTTAGTAAGTTTACGTCTTCTATGTATCACTTTGCCCATCTGTGAAGTGGTAGCAACATCTCTCCGAGAGGATTCCAGTAACCTGGTAGTTTGTAAATTGTGCTGTGCTGAATGGTTCCTGTGTAGGTGGTGACTGTGCAGGTCCCGGGGCCACAGAACATTGCTGAGGTTTGGCAATGATCCAGGCATGACCCTGCTGAGGAGGCAGAATGCCAGGGAAAGGAGTCTGGAGTCTGGGCCAAAGCCAGGTGAGCCACACGTGTGTCACTATGTGGGGACCCCAGGGAACCCTGCATCCAGCAGTAGCCTGCACACAGTAGGTGCAGAGCAAAGGAGAAGCACTGTTCCCACGGACGGTTGATTTGTGTTTGGCACACGAAACATTTCTAGTTCACACCCACTCCCCGCCTTATGCCTTGGGCTTTACGAAATCCCTGCCCAGACTAGAGCTCCTTCTGCCATGAGTCTGTGACTGGATTTTTTGGTTAAATGAGAAATGCGGGACTCTGGGACGTGCAGAGAGGCCCAAGCTGGGTCCTCTGTGGGAGCCAGGGATGCCCTGGGGCTGGGGGAATTCAGGGCAGACCTCTGAGGTGTTCTCTGCAGAGGCCTGATCAGCCCTCCAGTTGGCAAGTAATTAACTTTCCTAATTAAAGCATGAAGGCACGGGGCTCCTACTGGGGATGCACCAGGAGTGGTGTGACACCCGCCACTGACAGGGTCTTGTGCACTGTTGAGGGGCCGGCGGGAGGAACTCATTAGGAAGCAGGCTGGGAAGCATAGAGGCCTCTGGGAGCAGAAGCCTTGGTGTGCTGCCTCCTGCCGAACGGGAGGGCTGGGGCCCCTGGTGCAGGTGGGCGCAGGGAACAGAGCTGCCGGTGTCTGCCGGCCACTGAGGGACCGAGGAGCTATTTTGCACCCATTCCATTAAATTCTGCTCCCAGAGATGCCAGGGTGGCCCTTTGCCCTCCCAGAGCACAGGAAGGGGGCTGAGCTGCCTGCAGAGGTGGAGAGATGCCACTGTCTCGGGGTGTGGGGCCTGCCCTGCACCAGGGAACCATTTCAAAGTCCTGAATGGGGCAGATTGGCATCCCAGTGGCCTCTGCCTTCGCGCCTTTGTCCCTGCCTGTCCCTTTGCCAGAGCTTTCGCTGCTCTGTTCTTGCCTCTTGTGTGCTGCCTTCCCAGTGCCCCAGCCGCGGCACTCTGCATGAGGTGCTGCGGTGGCAGTGGGAAGAAACTACGTCCCTGCGCTCTCCTGAGGGGCAGAGGGATATCCGCGTGAGGCGCAGGGACAAGACAGTATCTGCAAGGCCAGGAGAGAGGCCTGGGAGGAGCCGGCACTTCCCACCCTCAAGATTGGATTCCTAGTCTGCGTAACTGTTAGCTAAACAGCCTCTGATGTTGGAGCTGCGTGATTTGTGGTGCTGAGCTACAGCAGCCAGAGCAGATGAGCAGGCTGGGCCAACAGGATGGTCACTGAGGCTGGGTCCCCTTGAGCTCTGAGGAGGACAGGAGACAGGCCACAGTGAGGGCTCAGTTTCTGTGCTTCTGGGACCGGAAGGGAGAGGAGTGTGGCCAGCAGTGGCAGCAGCCATGGCCACACCACACCATGGGAAGCCAAGCTCCCTGCGGAGCGTGTCTGTCTACACAGGCACCGCCCGCCACCTGCCATGGTATCCTCCTGTTCATGGTCACTGTGCATCCTCCAGGGAGCGAGCTGGACTCAGAGGCTCTGCTGGAGGCGTCGCTCTGACAAAGGCCAGTGCTGGGTGCAGCTCCAGCACTGGAGAGAGAGCAGGTGGACAAAGGGAGCCTCAGCTGGTGGGACCTGGAGGTAGGCATTGCTTTTATGAGACTCATTTGGGCTGGGCATGGATGCATGTCTCATCCCAGCACTCTGGGAGGCTGAGGCAGGAGGATTGCAAGTTTGAGCCCAGTTTGGGCAACTTAGTGATCAGTGAGACCCTGTCTCAAAAGGCACAATAACAAAAGGGCAGGGGATGTAGCTCGGTGCGAAGGCCCTGGGTTCAATCCTCAGTATGGGAAAAAATTAAAACAAAACAAAACAAACAAACCAAGAGGAAAAAAAACCCCAAACCCTCAGTCAGCCTCAGGCTGCTTCCATCCTGCTAAGGGCTGTGGTGTGGCCATGCTGGACCTGACTGGACACCTGGCCATGGGGGAGGGACGTGGGGACCCTGGACCCACATGGCTTCCATCTGCCATCAGGCCTCCTGAGGAATGTTCTTGCTTCTGACAGGCCAAAGAGGCAAAGCCAACAAAAGCCACCCTGAGAAGGAACTCCTGGGATGATTTCCACCATGCTGGCCTTCAAGGCCATGTCCCAGTTCTGTGCTGAGCAGGACAGGGCCTGAGAAAGGCCCAGAGTACCCACATGCCCCTTGGCTGGACAAGCATCACCGTTAACCTCAGCCATGCTCCGGCCCCAAGCAGCACCCGCTTCTCCCGGAGAGTGGACAGGCTGCAGGAACCACTGCCTCAGCCTTAGCAGTACCCGAGTGTCTCCTATCCAGGACCTGGCTATCCCTCCCTGCCTGGGCCTCTGCCTTGCTGCCCTGCAAGTGTCCCGTGAGTGTGACCATTGATAACCTCCCCCATCCTTCCCGGTGGCCTTTGATGCTATGCTGACCCCTTATGCCACCACCATGGTCCTCATGTCTGGCCACTCTGTATTTCCCCACTACTTGGTGTTCAGTTTCTCTCAGTACTATTTCAGGGTTCTGAGTGAGTCCCAACACCTCACTTCAGAGGAACTGCTGAGGCCTCCCGTGGGAGGCTCTGTGTGGATCTGGCGGGGCTGGGTGGTCAGTAGTGGAGGTGTCAGAGGAAGGGCTCCCTGCCTGAGACCTGCTGGCTAGCTCTGTCCTCCCAGACAGGGGCCTTTGCTGTGGAGATGGCTCTGGGCCCATTGCAAGGTGATTGCTCCTCCTTTGCCTTCGAGAGCCACTGGGACCCTGGAGGCAGAAATGAGTCCACAGTCAGCCCCCAGCAATTCGTCAGAATCACCCCGTATGCTTCCTATCAGCGGATGGCGCTAGCAGCTTCTGCTTCAGGTAAGCTGACCTTGGCTATGACCTATAACCTTGGCTGTGTCTCCCCAGATTGTGTGTGTGTGCTGGGGGGAGGGTGCTCTGCGATTTTTGGCTCCCCGTATGTCCAAGAAAAGCCACCGATTTTCACTTCCTCCAGCCTTTTCTCCTTGTAAGGTGGGAGGGATGACTTCCAAGCCCACCATGTGTCAGCTGAAAGCCACAAGCCTGGAGATGTCTCATTGACTGTCTCCTGGATTTAGTTCTGAGCATTGGATGTGTTTTGGTCTTGATGTGATTATGAACCGTATCTGTTTGTTGCTTTGTTTGATGTAGTATTGGGGATTGAATCCAGGGCCTTCAGATTGAGCTACATCCCCCCTACATCTCTTTCAATGTGTTCCATTTTAAGACTAAGTCTTGAAAAGTCCCGAACTTGCCCAGGTAGTGTATCTGTGACCCTCCTGCCCAGCCCCCAGTGGTGGGCCCACAGTGGTACGCCACCACACCCAGCTCGTATCTTTTAAAAATAATTTTATTTTCTTTTGGTTTTTCTCCTTGGCCTTGGTCACCACCCACCAAGCACATTCATTTCTTTGTGTGCTTTCTGTCTTGTCCCCTTCGAGACAGTAGGATGGAGAAGTGAGGAGCCCACAGGTCACAGAGCAGCAGTCACTCGCCCGTAGCTGCCCGCTGAATGAAGGCAGAGTGGCGGTCAGATTCCAAGGCCACACTCAGCCTTCACCAACAAACATTCCGATCACCAGGCTCAGGGGTGTGGATCCCACCAGGTGTCATGAGAATCCAAATCATTGGTGTCGGGGTTCCAGAGAGGACACGTCTGAGAAGTCAAAGGGTCTCCCTGTGAGCCTGTGCCAGGGCCACGGGCCTCAGCGCTTCCTGTTGTGCAGGCAGGCACTGGGAATCCCGGACCAGAGCTGGCAATCAGCAGGGTTCAGTGTGGTTTGCAGCTTTGACTTTGAGTGTTAACCTTAGCCTGGGAAAATTGCTTAACTTCTTTGAGCCTTTGTTTCCTCATCTGGAAGGTGGTGGTTACCACATGGGCCTCGTAGGGGTTCGGTGTAAAGGAAAGGAAATGATGGAGACAGTGCTCAGCCTTGGGCTAATTCTCATGAATTATAGCTATTATTATTATATTATTGTTATTATTATTTTGCAGTACTGAGGATTGAACCCAGGGCCTTTGCATTGAGCTGCCTCCCCAGCCCAGTTATTATTATTTGTTTTTTAAATCTGAAGACAATCTCATTGTTGCTCAGTTGCCCAGGCTGGGCTTGAACTTGTGATCGTCCTCAGCCTCTCAGAGTGCTGGAATTGTGGGCCTGGCACCATCAAATCTGGCTCTATGGTTTTATTACATTATTATACTAATTTTCAGTCCCTGTGTGACTCTGTTTCCCTCTACCACCAACCCTCTCCACTGACTGCAGAACAGTGCTGGACTGGGTCCTCTCGGGCTCACATCTGCCCTTGACCTGGTATCTCCGTGGCCAGTTTTTAGGTTTTTTTCTCAGACTGAGTTTCTCTTTCAGCCTCATCCCTGTATCACAGGGTAGCGCTATTCCTGTAAGACTTGAGGACGTGCTGTGTGACTTGCTCCCTGGTCACAGCAAGTCCTCAGGACCTCTGATCTTGAAGGAGCCCTTTGCACCCAAGAATCCTGGCTTCCAGAGGTGGGCTGGCTTGCTTTTGATTGAAAATCAGCAGCCTAGTTTACCATAACTTAATGTAGACACGAGTCCAGTTTGTCAGATGAATGAACAGCCGGGCGTCGGGGGAGCGCAATTAAATGCTCTCACGTTTGCACTGGGAACAGATGTGCACTTCCCGGATCTTCCATGCTGTAGTCTGAAAGTGCAGACTGGCTGTCTGTTACCCGTTTTGCATAATGAGAAGGAACAGGGGCAGGAAACACCCACTAGAGCCTTCTAAGTCACCTTCAGAAAACAGAGTGGCTAAAGAGAGTGACCGTGTCGCTGGGCAAGGGCGGCATTTCTGGCAGAGTTGTCGCTCCGGGCCGGCCGTGTCTGCAGACACGTCCCGCGCCCTGATGCCAGGCTGGCCACCTGGGGCCTGTGAACCCCCAGGCAGTGGGCCTGGTCCCAGCAACTCAGATGATTGCAGATGCCCCCTTTCTTCCCAGCTGCCAGCTGATGACATGAGACTTTGGGCTGGGGAGAGGCGGGGAGTTGGGGTGCCACTGAGAAGGTATTAAAACAGCTCTGAGAGGCACCATCTGTGACCGTGTCCAGATAAAGCCTCTGGCCTGGTGTCTGGTGGGGGGTGGGGTGCCTCTCAGGCTCAGGTCAGAACTGCTCTGAAGAGACGCAGTCGCCTTGCACAGAGACAATGCTGTGACAGGAGCCCCTGGGCTCCACCAGGACAGGCTGGGGCAAAAGGCTGGAGATGTCTGTGACATATAAGTCCCTACATATAAGTCCCAATTCCCAGCACGTCAGCGTGTGACTTTATATGGTGCCATCAAGACATATAGTGCACGGTTAAATTGTAAAATATATTACTGTATAGTAAAAGACCATTGCTGTGCATCCTCCTCAAAGTATTCCCCCTTGCTTCAAACACATGCGTCCCATTCTGAAGCAGCTCTGGAAGTCCTCTTTCCTGAGTGTCTTTAGGAGTTACGCTCAAAAAATCCAGTGAATACTGCTGCTGAGTGCCATCCAATGGACCACCTTATTCCCTGGATCTGTCACCATGCAACTTTGGCTCTTTCCCAAAGTTAGAGTGACCAAGAAAGGGAAACATTTTGAATCGATTCAGGACAGTAAAGCAGCCAGAACAGCACAACTAGAGACACTTAGGAAAGAGGACTTCCAGAACTGCTGCAGAAAGTGTCAAGAACAATAGGATAAAATGTGTTTGAAAGGAGGGAGATTAATGGCAATGTGTCTTTTACTATGATATATTTAAAAAAAATTCAAACATTACTTTTGGATCACACCTCATTTTTAGAGACAGGCTGATCACAGGGCTGCGGTTTGTGGAGTAGGCCCCATCTGATATGGCTGGTGACCTCCTTTAAAGGAGATGTTTGGACACTGACACACATACACAATAAGGACCCTGAGTGAACATGGAGTTCCTTGAGCCAAGGAACTGCCAGTGAGACAGGAGATTAGGGTGTGGCACAAGTGGCTGGGGAGGTAGATGTGACCTGTTAATTACAAAATCCCAGGACACAGGGGCAGAACAGTTTCCAAAGCCTGACTTGTGGACTTCTTGCAAAAACTTGAGCAGGTTTTCGAAAGGATGGCCTAGACCTGACGTCAGACTGAGGAATGGGTGACACAAAAGGATGAGCCACACTGAGTTTTTGGCCATTGTGTTCATGCTTGCGTGGTGGCCCACCCTCACCCTGTAGGGTTCACTTCTTTCCCTACTTTTACTTGGCCCAAACTTACTCTGCAGAGCCTGTTTCTTTTCCTACCTTTAATAAAACTTTGCTACCATTTGTGCTTGTCTTGACCAATTCTTTGCTCCACACAGAATCAACCTAGAAACCCCGTCTAGAAGGAGACTCTAGCACCCCCAAATCCAAAAGCACCAGGATCTGGGGCTGTGGCCCTGTGCACATGTTCCCTCCTGGCCTCCAGAAGGAATCAGCCTTGCTGACACCTGGTCCTAACCCGGAACTCTCAGTGCTGTGGCATTTCTCTTGTCTCAGCTCCCCAGCCTGTTGTGGGTGGATGCGGTGGACATCGGTGACACTTGGGAGAGAGCACAGATTACAGGATCAGGGGATTAACTGTAGGATAAGATACGGTTGATAGGATCCGTCTCCTTCTCTCTCAACTTCCCCCTGGCTTCCTGTCCCTCCCAGGCTACCATGGCGGGGAATTATTTGGCTTTTGTAAAATAAATGCTACAAAAAGCTGAAGCAAAATGAAAGTAATTAAGAACCAGTTTCCTAAAATGCATGCAGTTGCTTTCTTGGTGAAAATTCATCTTTTCCTCTGAGGTCCTGAGTCAGCCAGCTTGGACTGGGTCCTTGGGGGTGCATCTTCCCTTGGGGATGAAGAGCCCCCCTCAGCTGTGCTGTCCCTGCCAGGAGTGGCCTCCAAGATGTTCCTGCCCATCAGGAACTCGACCACATCCTCTGGATGTAGTTTCTTTTTTCTTTCTTTCTTTCTTTCTTTCTTTCTTTCTTTCTTTCTTTCTTTCTTTCTTTCTTTCTTTTACTAGGAATTGAACCCAGGGCCTTTGCACTGAGCTACATCCCTAGCCTTTTTTCATTTATTTTGAGACAGGATATTTCTAAATTGATAAATTTCCCAGGCTAGGCTTTAATTTGAAACCCTCCTGCTTCAGTCTCGCAGAGTGCTGGGATTATAGGCATGCATCACCACACCCAGCTGAGGATATCAGCTCTGCCCTTCGCAACTACAAAAGTGACAGGTGACCTGATACCACCCCAATACCCACTGCCATTAAGCACTTTCCTGAGCTTGTGAGCATTCTAGTGAGTTATGAAACCTGGGGGTGTTTGGGGGAGTCCTTGAACTTGCCCTTGGGGTTTTAACTGCAGCTGGGCTACCTGGAATCAGCCCTGCAACACCATTGGCTGGAGGGGACTGTGAGGTGGGCTTAGGGGAAGAGCCTCCTGGAGCAAATCTGGGAGTCTGCATCCCCCAGAGAAGGGCCTCTGCAAATGGAGCCTTAGTAGTGTGTTCCTTTCTTCTGCCTTTTCAGAGTTGGAGAAAGAGCTCTCCACCAGACCACAGCAGAAGGCAGACAACATGTGGTGTGACTCCCCTGAGGGAGAGGGCAGAGCTTCTCTGTCTACCTCATTGTTCTTCTGCACCTCCTGAAATATTTCTGGCGGGAATATTTGCAAACCCCAAATGAAATTTTAGACCCTCATGATTGACCAAGCCACCACCTAGCAAAGAGAAGTTAGAGTTAGCGAGGCCATGCGATGATCTCTCCCTGCAGCTTATCTGCCTGATATCATCTTTAAGGGGTCGGTGCAGGGGAAGGATGCCCTGTTCTCTCATTTCTGTGTGGCCTGAATGTGTCACAGCAACTCACGGACAATCAGTTCCTTTCATTGCACCTCAGTCAACTGCAGCGCCTAGAAATTGGTGGTCTTCAAATAACACGGAAGACTAATTGTACACCCAAAGCCTCCACCTTGGAAAATTAACTTCTCTCTTTGCTGGAAATTCATTTTCAGGGTGTTTCCTGGTCAGTGTGGAGCAGGCTGGAGGTTTCCTTTCACCTTGATTTATGTGATGGATTCTTGGGAGGCTCCACTTTGAAAACCTAATTGACCATATACAACACAAAGGCTGTTGATGGCTTCCTGAGCGAGAGAGTGTGTGTATACAATATTTGATGGGCTAATTTTACCCTGGTTTAATTACAACACTGGATGGCATTATAAATTTGTGTCCAATTAGGCCCAAGTCATCAGCTGCTGAATACGTTATATATTTTGTGAAATATCCCAGCTGATGACATCAGCTCCACCATAATGCCAAGCGAAAAGATGCCATCATCATGAACTTAACCCTCCAGTCCCTACTGGAACATGGGTGTGACACTGGAAATTTGATTAAATAAAGAAATAACAACCTTGTCATCAACACAAGCATGGACATAAAAGCAAGGCAAGGAGCGTGCAGCAAAGTCTACAATGGATCTGTAGTGTTCTCTGCCTGTAAAACTACAAGCTACAGAAATTCAGAGGCCTTTCAGGCCACTATCAGTGCCCTGTGAAGGACAGAGGAGGGCAGCAAGGATCAAACTGGGTCTCTGCAAGCCCCCTGTGGCGAATGGCTGGAATGAGAGGCATGACGATAGCCTGACTTTTTGTTTCTGAGCTAGAAAAAAAGGGACAGATTCAGAGCCAGGTGGACGTCACCAGTGTTCTCCTCTCCTTCCCAGCTCTGGACGCTGCAGGACAGCCCTTAGGCCAGACTGTACCACCCAATCTGGCCGATGATGAACAAGTAGTGGCGTGTGTCGCTTCGGAGTCCAGGCGCTGAAGAGATGGCTCGGTTCTCTGGCAGCTCTTCTTCTCCCGAGAAGGCCTCCATCAGCCAGGGCCCCAGGGACCATGGGGAGGAAAGGAAAGCACAGC